ACCTTCAAACCAGATTTTATCTCAATTTGCCGCCAAACGTACCCAATCCAAAGCAGCCAACGCACCAAGCATGGTTCACGGAATCCATTCATCCAATGGCAAAAAATTACAAATAAAAAATAAAGTGAAAATGCCAACAAAAATGAAATTCGGAAAGACATCATTTATTACGCATTATCTGCACCGTTTCGTTTCACGCACACTCCCACTTTCCTCGTGATCAGCTCGCAGTCGCAGATGCCGGCTACGTTGATCCAAAATGCCGTCCCTCTCAACCTCCAGGAACTCCTCCGCGCCATCTTTGCCGCGCCTCCTGGGAGACAGTGAGGAGGCTGAGTGCCGCCTGCGGGAAGCGGAGGAGCGCTTCCGGGAGGCCATAGAGGAGCTGCAGCGTCGCCAGCGTACGGCACGTGGCCATCACCCGCTATGTGACCACGCCGATGACTCCTGCGTCGCCAACGCGATTGGCAACCTTTGCCAGTCCTTTCTTCTATCTTACGGTGTTAGAGTCGGCATCGGGATTCTCCTTCGCGCTTTCAAGCTCGCCAGAGGGCAGTCCTATTCTTCTCTTCTTGATCTCAAGGTTAGGATTTGGATAGTAGCTCTTTGTTGATTTCGGTTATCATCGTCAATCTGCTGTTCGTCATCATCTAATTTTTTTTCCAGTTTTTGCTGGTTTTGATTTGATGATTTTGGTGGATGATTGTGGTGTCTCTGCAAATTTGTAATCTGTTTTGGTACTTTTGTTTGGGTGTTGATAGAATGAATGTTTAAATTTGAATTGAGTTCTTGTACGGAAATAGGGATATTACTACTTTCTCTAGGAGAATTGGAGAATATAATTGGATTGAGCTAGAATTGGTGCACAGAAATGGTATCTTTGCAAATTATGTGACTGGCATAATGATGATGACTGAGATAAACTGGCGTTGCTTACTTCCTGAGCTAGAACTGAGGATGCCGATTCTTATCCCCTTTGGACTAGTCTCATTTTTTGCTAGTGTAGAGTTTGATGTTACCTCTCCACACCCCCAATTTAAACTGTTGGTAGGATTTTATGCATTCGTTTCTTAATGCTATTTGAAAGGAATGGTGAGGTAAGTGCATAAATTTCCTTCTTCTTCCTTCTTTTTTTTTTTAATCTGTGAATTAGTGAATATCTGATTTTTGTTTTCAGCAACTTGTCTCAGAGAAAGATCTTATAGTAAGAGAAGAAGCATGTCGTATTGGTTTGCTTTTTGGTGGCTTCACTGGATCTTATCATGCACTCAGATGTTTGATGAGAAAGCTAAGAAAGAAAGAAACCCCAATGAATGTGTAAGTTTTCCATGTAAAAGCCTTGTTAATAAATGGTTTGAATTTATTGAGGCATGTTAGGATGAATTTCTTATTTATGACATTGTTTAAGTGGATGATGGAGCAGAATTTTATCAGGTTCAGTTGCCAGTTTGTCTATTTTAGCACTAGATGATTCCAGCAGAAGACGCACGCTTGCTCTGTATCTTTTGGCTAGGGTTGCCCAGGTACAAGAATGTGTTTCATCATAGACATTCTTTCTAAAATATCTGAAATTACTGAAATCTGTTTTATTTTAACAGTCTTTTTTCTTCCAAAACAGTGTGGTTATAATTCTGCAAAGTCTAAGAACAAGTTTCATCTCTGGGGAAGCCATTGGAGGCATGGAGATTCCTTGCTGTTTGCTTTAGTATCTGCTCAGGTATTATAAAATATAAATTTGACTTCTCTAACTGTAAGTGTACTCTTGGCTATAAAGTTAGGATATTTGTTTGCTTAGGCTGAGAGATGATTAAAGAGTAACTTTGACTCCATTTTACATAAGAATTGGGAGAATGGTATTGCTTCTGAGTTCTGTATGAGTTAGCTTAGTTCATGTCCATCTGGCCCCTATCTCAGTGGAAAGATATATTTACATAGGATGAATTTTTATGTGATGTCTTGGACCATAGCTTTGAAGGTTGCTAACCCTCCTCCCTGTGGTTAGGAAAATTGCTTGTAACTATAACCTGTTTTAATTGATAGGCTGGAATTGATCTCTTCTTTATATTGGTTGTCACTCTTAACAGGTTATGTATGCATTTGTGATGCGTCCTGAAACCTTGCCAAAATCATATCGTGATTTTATTCAAAAAACTGGTCCGGTTGCAGCTCCTGTTTACAAGGCTGTAAGGGATAGCTGTCGAGGTGGTCCAGTGGATATTGTATCTTTATCAGCTTACTTATCTAGCAAAAGGAAGTCCAACAATGTGAAGTTGGAAGAGTTCCCTTCTATTATTCCTTGTTCTGTTATTCATCCAGTCACCAATTCTTGTTTAGTCCACAATGCTAATGCAGCATCAGCTACATTCAAGAAAACATTTCCGCTATATTTCTCTTTGACTTTCGTACCATTTGTTGTTCTACACCTACAGAAGGTACATCTTTCACTTTCTTTTACTTTTGAACCTCTTCCCTCCTTTTTTTTTTCTTCTGCATCTTATGATACTGCATGTAAAGGGGAAGAAAATTATGGCAATTATGGTTGTGGTTGGGTCTGTAGATTCCTCTTCTCCCATGATCGAGGGGAGTTTTTCCTTACTTGAACAAAGGCTCTCAAGCGTTCCTTTTTCACCTTTTCTATACACAATATTTGTTTGCTTCCAAACACCAAATCACCCCCCCCCCCCCAAAAAAAAAAAAAGAATTAGGAAATACTCATGGTCATGGCCAGTAATTAAAGTTATTGGCTTTTTTTTTCCAAATAATTTAAGGGACTTTTCTTTTACTTTAGTTGGGAGTTCTTATGTTTGTTTTGAGAAGCTGAGCTACTGTTTTTAGTTTTAAGCAAGTTGTGGGTGCCAATTATGTCTAGTTTCTGGAAAATATTTCAATATGTTCATTTTTCAAAATGCCCTTATTGTTCACTTAGTATCCAAGGGTAGCAATTGTGTCTCATTTCTGGAAGACTTGAACTTGAATATCTAATTTTATGTTTAACTATGATGATGCACTTCCAGTTCATGGATTCCCCTGCTCGAACATGCTGGCTTGCTGTTAAAGGTGCTGTTCAATCAACGGCATTCTTGTCTGCATTTGTTGGAATTTTTCAGGCACCTGCTTTCCCTTTTGTATTCTACATATTTTCTGTTGCTAATCTGAGTATGAATATGTTACTGAGCATTCACTGTTAGATACAGGGAGTCATATGCATGCACAGAAAGGTTGCACTGAATGACCACAAGCTGGTATATTGGACTGCCGGTGGAATATCAGCTCTTTCTGTTCTATTGGAGAAAAAATCTAGACGTGCTGAGCTTGCATTATATGTTCTTCCACGAGCAGGAGATTCATTGTGGTCTATTTTAGTGAATCGCCACCTGCTTCCTAAAATCAGAAATGCGGAGGTATTGCTTCTCTATAATTATAATTGTCTTCGGATTGAATTCTTTTTTCTAACAATGATATGATAGTGTTGGCCAAATTAAAAAAATGATAAAATTGGTAACCTCCACTATTCTTGATATTTCTGGTGTTCATGACCTTACTGATTTATTGTTACTCTATATGTATGGAACTGCTACAGATAAATTGTCTTGACTTAAATTTAGTGGTAAATGGTCAGCTATAAGATATGGTAATGTTACTTAGAAAGTGCTTTCAAGCTATGAGATGTCAATCAGAGGTGAATTTTGACTGTCTTTGTTGGTTGCTGTACTCTTGTCTCATACATGATCTGAGGCGCTGAAAGATGGTTTTGTTTGAGGAATCACAGCATTACCATTCTAGTGAGGCAGTTGATTTCCTTTGAGTGTTTACCCCTGAATCAATATTTGCCCAATGTCACAGGTGGCCTTGTTTTGTGCATGCATGGGAGGAATCATGTACTATCTAGAATATGAACCAGACACAATGGCTCCTCTCCTCAGAGGTCTAATCCGTCGCTTCCTTGCTAGCAGAATAAACAATTCGGCTCCTTCATTTAGTCGGAGTGCTTCCCATACTTACTTGCAGACTCTGGATGCCATGAAGAAGCCAAAGATACAGAAGAACGAAGAGGCTGAAGCTTCAAAGGCTGAAAAATACAATCTTGAGTCAATACCCGGGCTCTGAGTATATTTATACGGCCACCATTGCCTCGGTAATTTCAGCCCCATAATTCTTTGCAATTCATTGTGAGGTATATCACTCACTGCGTAATATATCAGAATGTCCTCGGGATTAGCATTGCTTCATGCTGAGTTTAGAAATAATTAATTGAAGGGATTTATTTGCAGTCCCAAATATAGTTTCTCTTCAAGATCATCTCTATCCTCTTGGCTACAATTTTTTTTTTTTGTCCTTTTGTTGAGGGAAGTCGGGAAGAAATGAAATAAAATTGTAAAGATTATAGAAGGGCTAGCCCTGGTAAATAATAATACTCTGTTCTTTCTACCATAGCGTATCATTTTACTCATTTTTAATGCATGTTTTGAGCTAACTGCTTGATATGTATTGGATGAGAGTTTTTATTTTTTTTTTATTTTCTATAGAACAGATTCATTGGTTTGAACCCTGATCATATGGGTGAGGAAGTGCATTTTTATTAGTAGTTTGTTTATTCACTCTACGGCCCTTCCTCTATTAGATGAGTTATGAATGGCAAGTTGTACACATAAAAAAATGTTTAGGGCTGATTAACTCGTAACCTGAAAGGGGTTACTTGCACTTAGAACAAGGAACTTTTAGTTCCTTTGTAAGTTGTAACCCTATATTATCATATGAAATCCTCAGGCAGCCAAACTGAACTCTCCGGATTGATTTCTTAAATGGACGGCAAAAATCAAATGATCAAATTAGCCTCTGACCAAAAATGTCTGAAGCCGGGGTTGGTTCATTAATCAATTGCTATTATCTTAGCATCATTTTCCCTATTAATTTAAACTAAGTCAAAAGTTTTACACCTTTGCTAATCCTAAAATTGTGTCCACATGAATTCCTCTATACTAGACTCAAATAACTCCTTCCAGTAGCAAGAAAACAAGTTCTTCCATACCAACAAAATGGATGCAAGGTTGATTCATGCTGCACAGAATGGAACCATTGAAGATCTTGCTGAGTTGCTACGAGAAAATCCTCTGATCCTCCACACCATCGGCCTGTTCTCCATTGACAACTCCTTGCATATTGCTTCTGCTGCAGGGCATGTGGGTTTTGTGAAGGAGATTAAGAGGCTGAAACCAGAGTTTGCAAAAGAATTAAACACGGATGGGTTCAGCCCCATGCACATGGCTGCTGTCAATGGACATGTAGAGGTTGTGAGGGAGCTGCTGAAGGTTGACCAGAAACTCTACCGTCCTGCGGGAAGAGAGAAGAAGACTCCCATTACGCGGCTATCAAAGGGAGGGTCAATATGATAAATGAAATGCTCCTGAGTTCAGCAGAATGCATCAGAGACGTGACTGTTCAAGGAGAGACTGCTCTGCATCTTGCCATCAAGAACAGCCAGTTTGAACCAGTTAAAGTTTTGGTTGATTGGATTAGAGAGATGAAGAATGAGAGCATCTTGAATCTCAAGGATGAACAGGGCAATACGGTTCTGCACCTAGCAACCTGGAAAAAACAGCGGCGGGCAAGTATTTTCTGCCGTGAAATTGCTCTTTATTGATATTGTCTACTTTTCCAAACTTTTATACTTGTGAAGATGGAAACTATGAAGGGGAAAAATATCCAAAATAGAAATTTTTTTGCAGGTGATAGAATTATTACTTGGCAAGGGAACATCTGGCTCAGGCTCCTCGGTAGTAAATGCCATAAATCCAAGCAGCCTAGCAGCCCTTGATTTACTTCAGATTTTTCCAAGTGAAGCTGGTTACATGGAAATTGCAGAGATTCTTCAACAAATGGTGGTAGAAGAACCAGAGATCTTACACTCTCTCTGACGCCTTCCTTTGAATCACAGAATCAGGTCATAAACATTCCCACAACACCAGAGAGACCTCAAGCACATCCAAGAAATCTGGTGGAATATTTCAAGTTTAAAAAGGGCAGAGACTCTCCCAGTGAAGCTCGGAGCACGTTATTAGTCGTAGCTGTTCTCGTGGCCACTGCCACCTTCCAACTTGGACTCAGGCCCCCTGGAGGCATTTGGCAAGACTATTATGTCCCTGACCAGAACAACAGCAGCACCAGTACAGACAAAGCACACACTGCGGTAACATCTGTGTTGGCCACTAACGGTGGAACTTCTTTCCTGCTCCTTTTTCTTTTCGACTCAATTGGGTTTGCCGTGTCTCTTTCAATGATCAACATCCTGACGAGCAAATTCCGCTTACAGTTAGAGCTTCAGGTTTGTATCAATGTAATGTTTTTCACATACAATACTGCAATGGTAAGCATTTCACCAGAAGTTGTAAAGCTCCCCATCATCATATCTACATCCATCCTATCTTCAATCACACCAGTTTTAACAAAGTATCTGAAAGTTCTGGCTTTCTATTTGCCGAGGACTGTCCCAAGATGATCATCATGAGATTATAGAACCTCCTTCAATTAAAAGAGATCTATTACCAAAAGTCCATTTTTAGAGTACACGCAATATAACAGATTCAGATTTTACAGAGTTTATAATTTCTCTTGAAATTTACATATTTTATATTTTTTCTTACCTATTTTACACTCAATGCCTTCAAATTTACAAGTAAAAACGTGATTTTGTAAAGAACCTCGAAAACTGGATCTCTTAACATCTTCAACAACTCTCTTTAAGGAATCACCGATATCCCCCAGTGCCCAAGCCAAGGATACGTGAGGACGAGGATTCTGTTAATAACAACCAATATGGTAGGTGATTATTTGCTTTAAATATTCAAGTGAAAAAGTCATTGCTGGAAATAAATCGTGGACAGCAAAACAAACCTTATAATACTCAGGAAGATTATGAAGTTTGTAGGCCTCATTAACAGCTTGAATTTGCCTAGTTATCTGAAATTAACTTTAACCAAATTAATATCATAACTTGGGGTAACATAATCATATGAGAATTAAGAAAGAAAATGGATATGCAGAATGAGCAGACTGATTTTGACCACACAAACAATTGTGCCAAGGAGGAAAAGTATCTGAATTTGACAAAAGAAACCAATGAACTTGACAAATAGTTCTTTCATAATTGGAGGAAAGACATAAATTTCAATGCCACTAACACGACGAGGCTAAACACATGAAGGATTAGTTAAAAAGAAAAAATATACATAAGAAAAGAATTCGGAATATATACCTCAGCTAATCCTCCTGTCGAAACCTCTACTGAAAGAAAGGAGCGTGTGTGTTCATCATTAACAAAAACCTCCCACTTGTTAAAATCAATCCAATACCTGTTCGCGATAAGTCAATTGGCAAAACCGAACCATGGAACTTGAAGGTAAAAACTTGAAAGCATATTCAGGAATGAACTAGAGTACCCAGAGAAGAACACATAACCTGTTCTGAAACTGAAGCTTCTGGCGAAGAATTGCTACCATGGAGTCAATCTGGTGCACTCTGATAGGAACAGTTCTTCCTAAACTTATGTGGAATTTCCTTCCAAGTGCAATTTGTTCAAGCTTTTGTTCATCTTTGCACAAACCATTCAGTGGAACATCAGCATCCACAACATGAAGGTC